AAAAAAAAACCCCTAACAATATAAGTTTGGAATTGCGCCCACCCTGAGACTGTTGACTTCAGGTTTATTCATGAAAGTTCTAGGTAGCAAATTTTAAAATCAAAGATGTATGTATACATATTACCTACACATACTCGTGTTCTTTCCATATCCTGACCAGCCAAGTGAACCAGTTCGTGAATTGTCTCATCTCAACCCCATGTGAGGTCAAAGTTTTACAAGATACGGTAAGTATCTAATGAATATGCGTCATTTAAGACTGTGTAAGTCATTCGACAAATAATTTTCTCTCATTAATATCCGTTTTTAAGATTCCATAAATTTGAATGATAAATGTTCATTACATATATGATACATTTCCTTTCTTCTAGGCAACGTAGTACGTCTATCTGATAAATGTATCCGTTTTTAAGACACGGCAAATCTCTGATGTCCGTCCGTCTTCTTTGTTCCTTATTTTAATATTGAACGCGATTTCCTCCAATACAATGTCTTGCCTACGTGTTATAATACTTATAGTCTTTTCTTTCTGGACTTGCTTCCATAAACTGTGTCCATCCAAGACAATATGCAGGGCAATAGTTTGAGAGTTTTCTCCCCTAGATGGGGTTGCTGTTCAAGGTTAATGAGCCTAATCTACCTGGGGGTTCGAACTCGGGACTTTTGGAGTCAACAACCATAACCTCTCCTGCCTGACCACGCCGTCCCCATATATCTGTCCACTTTTCCTAAATTATTTACTAAATTTACTTATTGTTTGTGTAAATCATATTGTCGTTAAATCCTATTTTAGAGCTAAAAAATCTTGTAGAAATGTTTTACGTCCTGTTCTTCTCAACAGTTATCAACTTTAGTCAAAGAAGAATTAAAGAAAGTTGGAGTAAACTGTGGTGAGTGGGATAATTCATACCAACGTACAACTTATAGCACTGTATTTTAGAATGATTTTTAAAAAAATGAAATAATACTTGGCAGTAAATTTGATACAGTTAAATTTGATCAGTTAAATTCAGTTCAACATGTTAAGTGAGGTAATCCATAATAGACGTCACTCTTCTAGGGGGAGGAGGGGGGTTCGGTCACTCTTGTGACGACGTGTGACAAGGAAAATAAAAATGGGGGGGGGGGGGGTCAAAAAGTGTGACGACACACTTTTGCATTTAAAAAAGTAATGATAGAAACTGAGTTTGCGATATTAGAAGGCTGATTTTGTAACTTGTAATGTAAATTAAATAATATATTCAATGTTATTAAAGTTGTGTTTGTTTCGACTATTAACAAAGTTCATTTTTTGCAGATATCAACATCAATAAGAGCCTGTCTACGCGTGAGTTATAATTAATCTGTTGTTTATTTACGAGTATGCTTGAATACGTATGTGTTGAGTATATATGCAGGTTCGGATTAAAAGTAAACTATGTCTTGTGCTAGCAATTAAACAGCAATTAAGACCCCTATAATTTCAGGGGAGGGTATGGGTGAGGGGGGAGAGCTGCTGCCCGATCAGCCTCCACTTTAATCCACCAAAGTGTATTTGTATATGGCTAATGTGTGTTTACTAATTAACTAATTACAGGTCAACCAGCAGCAACTTGGCCAACCGCAGCTAAATCTTTAGCAGGGGGTAAATATTTTTAGTGTAGTAGTTTGGATAAATTATATATATATATATATATATATATATATATATATATATATATATATATATATATATATATATATATATATATCCCTAATATTGTGTACATTAAATTATTGTACATATATTCCACTGTACTGTATATTAAAACGATGATTATTCTGTTCCAGCTGATTCCATCGACGTATCCACACAGAAAGGTGACGAAAAAAATTTCTTGCCCACACATTTCTTTAAACTTTGTAACCATAATAGGCCAATTTTTTGTAGTCCAATCACACCGTAAGACCTCCAAGTGGGACATTTTCAAATATGTATATGTAGTTACATCGGTTCCCGATATCTCTTGTCGACAGTGTTTCTTTGAGATATATTTTCAGAGGGCACGTCCACCCGCCCCCGGACGAAATAGAAAAGAATATAATAATAAACACCGTAAAACAGTTCTTCTTGATTATACGTAGTCATTTATATTCATTTGGGGTTGCCGATGAAGATGCTTTAAACCAAGTTTAAATAAAGAAATCTATTACATAAATATTTTTTTTAGTATCATAAGTGGCACTACCAGACTACAAATTGTACAATTAGGACAATAATCTCTCTCCTTATAAGTTTCTAACCATCCATTTCATACTTTCAGCACTTAGAATCCTGCCTGTCATAATTATTTTCATTTAAATTTATGATTTTAATTAAAGGAAACAACACGTATGCCATTTATTTTGATGCGTATAAGTATAACACCTTTGATTTTTTTTTTTACAGTTGCAAGAAATAAATTTAGCTTTAGCAGAGGAGGTAAATATCTATATTCAAATATTTCAAATCAAAAGCATTAATCAGCCCGCCACGCCCCCCCCCCCCCCCATTTTCCTTATAACGTCATCACTCTGCCCCTCCTCCGTGTTACTAAGTAAAATTAAATCCCCTACGGCCTCACTGACTTCTTCCACAAGGGGGACAATCCCCATTAGTTATAGAAGGGGAAAAAGGGAGATAATAATTCATTGGTTGAGTACTCCTCTTTGTGGACCTTGCATTGAAATTGTCAGTCCTAACCAATTAAAGGGTGACAGCGAAGCGGGGGGGGGGGGGGGGGGCGGCGGCGGACTTATGTCCCGGCGCCGACCTTGGGGGGGGGGGTGGGGGGGGGCGCCAAAGTTTGAGGGAGGGGGGGGGGTGCAAATGAAAAGTTCGAGTGGGGGGGGGGGGGGGGAGGGTGCAAATCGAAAAAATCGAAAGTTTGTCCCCGGGTGCCGGGAAGGGTCGCTACGGCTCTGGTGACAACAGCCCAATCTATATATATAATTCTCTTCTTCGAGCCGTTAGAAAACAAGCTGCAAACGCTCTCCCTACCTCCCCACCCCTACATGGTTTTAGTGAGCTGTGTTCACTCTAAATGTTTACAAGCAGAGCCAACGATTTTAAAGGTAGGGGGGGGAGGGGGGGAAGGAAGGGGGGGGGGTTATGGTCCTTAACGAGCTACTTATAGTGTTTTAAAGAAATATTTTCAGTGTCAGCGTTGGTACTGTCGAATTCACAAATTATGAATTATTGAAAATTAGAAACAACTAAATAGCGGCGTATGTTATGCCGCGGGCCGGCTCGTTCATTTTAAACGCTAAATAAACTGTAAAAATAATTGTTTAATACCTAAAATCAAATATCATATCATGTCAAGATGTGATTTCATATCTGTTATTAAATGGAATAATTAATTTACAAAAAAGTTTAAAAGTTAAATTAAACAAAAGAAACAAAATATAGCCTAATGATATGGCAGCAATGAGATCGGTTAAGAATTAAAACGCATAATTCAAATATCTGTAATGGAAAAAGAGTGTAGATTTTGGATAGACTTACAGTCCCGATTCCCTGTGTACATCGTTAGGCAGCGGTATACAGCGGGTTTTTTTTTTGTCTTCTAGAAATTAAATGTGTATGGAACAATAAATTGCTGCTAGTAGTTAATACAAAACGACCTATCTAATTTGTTACGATCAGTACCGTTAATTAGAGGAGCGGCGTCAGCTCATAACCTCGTCTTACGGTCTGATGCCGATTGTAGACCGATTTTAGATTCATCTACCGTGTTTCTTCCAGACTTTTTTTCTCCGGGGGGGGGGGGGGGGCACTTGAAATTTGGGGGGGGGGAGGGGCGGTAGACTTTCTTCGGAAGGGGGGGGGGGCGGCGGACACTAATAAAAGTATATATTTTCTATATAAATTTCATTTCGTTCGGGGGGGGGGGGGAAGCATAGACTGGAAGAGATGCCTGGAAGAAACTCTGCTCATCTAGTGTCATCAATAAATGACGTCACGCTTTTAGAGCGAATTTTAGGGGTCGGCGTGGTCGAGTCGGTAAAGCTCATGTTTGATAAACAGAAAAGTCTCGAGATCGATCCCTTCCAACACTAAAAATTAAGAAAGATGAAGAGAACGAATTTTGCCCTCCTCCTCTTGTCATAGAGCATCACAATACTCCCAAACCCACTCCCCCCGGGTGTGTGATGTCATTCATAGCAGGGGCGTAGCGAGGGGGGGGGGCGGGGGTGCGGACCGCATCGGGTGACACCATTTAGGGGGGTGACACCAAGGCAAAAAATAGCAAAATATATAGAGAAAAACTTGAGGGGGGGGGTGCACATCGAAAGTTTGAAGGGGGTGGGGGGTGCAAATCGAAAGTTTGAGGGGGGGGGGGGTGTAAATCGAAAACTTGAAAAGTTTGTCCCCGGGAAGGGTCACTACGCTTCTGGGGGGGGGGGGGGGGTGACACCATTAAGTGCCGCACCGGGTGACACCCGACCTCGCTACGCCACTGATTCATAGACACCCCCCCCCCATGGATCTAATATGTATTTCTACTGTTATTTTATTTTCAGAAAATGGATCCGCTGCTATTTTTGTACCATTTCAAGTTACAGTTGTGTTGATTGCTTCGTTGTTCATATTTGTTTTTTGAAATACTTATTTATTAAGCATCTGTGTATCTATTTTTTTCCATAATATTATTTATTCGCATACATTTTGTATCATTATTTTATACTATGCATCTCTTTTTTTTAACGTTTCATACTTGTAATGTTGAACAAGCTTAAAATGAAACAAAAAAGCTTTGTTATTTATTCCTAGTTCTTATGTTTCGTTTTCTAGCAACAAGTAGGTATGTATTTATTAATGGTTAGAGGTTAACATTTTTTAAAATTACTAAAGTGGCCCTCATCATGTATGTAGACACTTCATGTGTTTGACGCGATTCAATATTAAAACGGCTTTCTTTCATGCCTTAAATGTTTCTATAACTATTGTTTAAAAATATTACTTAGGCTAAATTATATACATCTAAATGCTATTATTGCTTAGTTCTTGTATTGGAGCATATGTCTTACATTTTTGTTCAATAAACATAATTAATACAGCAATTTTAAGTGTCTAACTGTTCTATTCTAAAGCCAATTTCAACAATGATTTATTAATTAACGCAATTTACCACCGTCGTAAAATTAAAATGTTTCTGTTGTCATTTTTTTTTACAATAGTCTACCTCAGAAAGTGAAAGCTACAAATTCAAGCCTTTAAAAAATTTCCATATTGAATGTACATTATTGATCTAGAACAGGGGTCTCCAAACTACGGCTCGCGGGCCGGATGCGGCCCGCGATGTCCTCTCATCCGGCCCGAGGAGATCTTTTTGTCCACGGAAAAACCGTGCGTTGGTGATGGCTGAGGAACTTTGCCAAGAAAAATCAAAGACATGCCTGGAAGAAACTGGCCCCCGAACTGAAATTTGATAGTTAATGCGGCCCTCGGACTGATCGTTTGGAGACTCCTGATCTAGAATCTAGAGACCTACAGTACAGGCAAACTAATGAAAATGTTCGGGATATAAAATTTATGTAGACTACGTCTGATCAATATTGTAGAATACGTTATGGCATAACCTCGTAATAAGTAGTTTTAATTATTTAATATTCTTTGAAGCAAAATAGAAATTCATAAATAATACATATTTAGTTGGTAAATTAAAATGTCTATCTAGAAGATAAATATTAATCTAGATCTAGATCCTAGATTATTCTAGATTCTAGATAATACTAGATCTAGATATTCTTGCATTGTCGTCCAAGATCTACCACTACTGTGCCATATTTAGCTAGGTCGATGGAAAGTGGGTTAAATTAACATTCCATACAGTGTTTCTTCCAGACTTTTTTCTCCGGGGGGGGGGGGGGGGCGCTTGAAATCTTCGGGGGGGGGGGGCGGTAAACTTTCTTCGGGGAGGGCGGACACTGTTAAAAGTATATATTTTCTATATAAAATATATAAATTTCATTTCGTTCGGGGGGCGGTAAAAATTTTTCGGGGGGGCTTCGCTCCCCCCGAAGAGATGCCTGGAAGAAACTCTGATTCCATAAGTTGCGGAGCCACAAGCAAATACAAAAAGCCAAAAAACAAACATACTTAGTGAAAGTAATAATAAACGCCTTAAATTAATTAAGCCTCATACGAGGGAACTGGTGAAAATTTCAAATTTGTATTTTATTTTGTTAAAAAAAACTGTTTATAGTCATAGTTTTTTAGACAGCCAAGTTCCGAGCATGCGCATTACCATAATATTAATCGATCCTTTCACGTTTTCCGGCATTTTGCCGCACAAACCTCAGTACTAGTGGTGCTTACATACACCACAAAAACAACACAATGGCAGCTGTAAGTTAATTTGGGACATTGCCATCATTTTCTTTACTTCTAGTGTATCAATTTGACATGTTTGATGACTTGGTTTCGAAATTATTATGCCCCAATCAAACAATTTTCTTCTGCACATCAGGACATCTAGCAGATCTAAAATCTGACATCTGCATTTCATTAGATTTTAGAAAAAGAAGAGTTCTTCCAGAGTTCGACATGGTGACATGAAACTTAAATCTAATTTTCGGCTGGTTGTAATTTTGTTTAGGGCCTAGATTAGATCTACAGCTTTGTATGACCATACGCAGAATTGGCTGTTGCAACAGCGCAAATTCAAAATGCGAATGGGTAAAACTCCATTTTATTTTAGCCTTAATATTAGTCTGGCGCGTTGCTTAGATGGCTGGATTGACCTCTGACCCTGAAACGTCACGCGTCGTTTTTAGACGGTTTTTACGTTTATTTTAGGGGTCCTATCCACGACAAATGAAAAAACTGTTAATCTCGCAAATTCTCATCATTATTTTAATGCAGAATGGTAATAAAATGGATAATATGCCTTAGAATGCCAGAAAAAATCGAGAGATTTGTTGTTGTAAATAATGAGAGGATTTCTGGTGGAGCGCTCTCCGTAAAAACTGAACCGCCGCTAAAAACGACCGACCTCCGGGGAAAACGGCCCGACCTCCTCTAAATTAATATATAATTGAGATATTTACCTTGTAAATTTACATTATTATTGATTCTGGTTTCCAAAATCTTATCCCAAAATGAGGTACCCACGCTGACATTTCTATCCGCTATTTTTAGTATCATGACGTCATTGCTACGCTAGTTGCCAGACTGAAACAACTAGTTTTTGTTTTTTACGGAATGAACTGTTAAGTCTAGTATTTTAATTATAATTCAATTGTAGCATGTGTGGAAAAAGTAAAATTATGGACATTATTGTTGTATTAGTAATTTTATTAGTATATTGATTTTTTCTTCACTGTGGGCCGACAGTTGCTGCATTCGTGACCGGTGGTTAACCTCGTCAACGCTGCGTGGCCTATTCGTTTATATAATCAGTGATGCTCGTTCAGTGGCATTTTTCAGAGCTAGGCCTAATTACGGGCGATTTTTAGACTTAATTGATCGGCCGTTAGCCCTTTTCATTGCTGCGTATTTAAAAAAAATGCTCGTTCAGCTGCCTTTTTTTTTGGCGCTAAATAATCTGTTTACGGTCATTTTAAGCGTTTATTTATTTTTTTAAGCTAGACGTAGATCTAGTTAAATTATTTTTTTTTTATACAGCTGGCTGTCTAGCATGCCTGATATGTGAACTTTAAAAAAAAAATGACCGAACTTTAAAAAAAAAATGACCAGAAGTAGGGAAGTAGGTCTGTTATTCAATTTGCTTGAAGAAGGGGGGGGGGGGAGAGAGAGAGAGAGAAGTGAAGACACCGACCATCTCGTGTACGCGTGTTCATTCTATGACGTGTACTATAGGTCACGGTGACCCCGCGACCGTGGTGGCATTTTTCATCCACAGGATAGTAAACGTAAGCAAGCAATCACGCGAGTGACGATGTTTGGAGATTTTATTTTAAAAAAATAATCACATACGTCATGTTTTCAAGATGAAAAAAAAAATGTAAAGTAAAAAAAAAGACACTAATACCATGTATTGGGCATGTATGAACCTCAGCTGCCACGCTGTTGACTCAATACAATGTGAATTGAGTGTAAAATGTATTTGTATTTATAAACTATCATAACTATTACTATAATATTATTTTAAGCATATTTATTATTTAAAATTAGAATTTGAAATAAAAATATTTATTATGGTCATTTGATTTATGCAGGTGTTCATTATCTGCATCATAAAATGGTATGAATATCATGTGGAGTAGAATTTAATAAATAATAAAATAACTAGATCTAGTTTTATTATCAACTAGTTGCTTTTTGTTATTTTCCGGTGAGTAAATTACCTAAGCTGACGCAATTACCATGGCGGGAATTAAAAGCTCGTGCACACAAGTCCACGACGTCATGTTATGCCGGTCGAGGGCCAAGAACGCTGCTTTGTCATTCATTTTCCATTTTTGATTAATTTTCAAATTCTCTATTTTCTCGTCAACCGAGTAAGCTAGATATTTAAATGAGGTGTCAAATGTTCTCTTAAGGGGTAAGGAAGTTAATGGTGTATTTAAAATAACAGAATATTTTATTTTAGAAAATCCATAATTCAACCTACTTAATAATATAACGTATTTATTCACTGCTTCACGTACACCGCCAAATGAGCGAATTTTATACGAGTGCGTAAAGAACTTAATGCCTCTCCGAATAGCCACTTCCAAGTTTAATTATTAGATTTTCTCTTATCTCTACTAGATCTATGTCTACTTAATTTTGAATTTTGTGATCGCTAGTGAGGAACTCTGGTGCATAGCCAATTAAAAAGTCGAACCGGAATAGTGGTTTGCCTTGAATGCAAGAATAATATAGATTAGTATTGCTCGCTACCCTGGAGGCGTGGCTGGTTGCTAACAACAATATGGCGTACAGACCAGATGCACAACTATTTTTCGTTTTAGTTCCAGAGACCTTCTTGGAATTACTTTTAAAAGTGTTTACCATGAGCAAGATGGCGGGTTTTCACGATATAGACACATGCTAAATCTATAGGTGGCAGGGTTAAATATGCCAGAAAAGCATTTTAAAATTTGCTTTGGAGAGTGAAGGCTAAATTTAAAAGTTGGTGTCATTAAAAATTAAATATCAACCTGGGGAGTACAATAATAATGAATTCGGCTTTTTTTTTCTAACTTAGGTTTATCACTCTATGAAAAAAAAAAAAATATTGCAAACCACTTTTTTATAAAACATGGCATTTGAATGACATCAAAATTTATTTTTTTAAACCACGTGACCGCTATTTGGTGATCACTAGAGTAGTTTACACTTTGCGGACACACACAGAAAATTACGTAGGAGCGAACACTTTGTCGGTTTTTTGCTCATAGAAACTTTGATTAGCATGTCTCATGAGAAACCACTGCGCCTGCACGTAAACTGTTCATTTATGAACACGTCCGTGTCGAGTACTTCCGTTTCCTCTCTCAAGAATTATTTTTAGAAATTTTTTAACGTTGCATGGTACGCACATTTCTATTTTTGCACCAGCCGGATGAAGTGACCTAGGGTTGGACTTAGGGGCAAAACTTGAACCAATCAGCGCTTAGCTTAAAGGCTACACTATAAATAGCTTCTATATATGTATGGAACATCGTAAATGTCAAGGTTAATGGGTTTTTTTTGTGCTTGAACAATAAAAAAGGGGTGTTCGCTAACTTATTTGGCCTTACATGGGAGCGGACAGCAACACAAAAATATTATTAAATAAGAATTTAGAGCATAAAGGGGGCTGGTTATTGAAGGGAAAGGGTCAAAATAAGGTCAAGAAGGCAGTGGAAGGCGAAAGAGGAGGGGGAAATCATGTGACCTGGCTGGCTTAGCAGCGAACTGCGCGAGCCGCAATGGCTGAATGGGATGAACTTTGGGAGTGTTGGAAAAAGGTTTTATACTATTAAAATTACCTCACAAACAATCAATAACACAATATAAATGCATATATGTTTTTATTCATTAAATTGACTTTAAATTATTCTAAATGAACAAAAAGTGCTTTGTCCGATGACGGGTAAAGGTGTCCGAACACATGTAAAATTGTGTTACATGTGTTCAGACACATGTTAAGACCCCCCAGTCACTATAACAAGAATAGCTAAAGTTCTATGCGTATGAATACAAAATGACACACACATTATTAAAGTAGAATGGTTGCGGATAGATATACTTTTTTTGTTTTCTATGTTAAGCGGTTTCTGAATGAGACCTCATGGAATTTTTACGTTGCGTTTTTTCGCTATGTGTGTCCGCAAAGTGTAAGCTCCTCTAGTTAGGAACTCAGGTGCATAGCCAATTAAAAAGTCTAACCGGATTTGTGGTTTGCCTTTGCTTCAAACGTAAGAATGATATAACAAGTGTTGTCATGGAGAGGTGTGTCGAACATAGCAGGGAGTTCAAATAAATATTAAGTAGGGCCTAATTAAGTTAAAAATGAACTAAAAACTTCAAAATTAGTGCCTTATGGATTAAATATGGATGTTTATCATTCAATGGTCATGTTTAAATTGAAAATTGAGTAGGCTAAATTTTAGAATTTAGTAAGAAAATCTAATATAGATCTAACATGCGTTGTCATGGAGAGATGTGTTGTGCATGGCAGTGAGTGACAATGAGTAATTTATAGAAATTCTTACCTATGCATAGGCCTATATCTTAATTATTTTTTTAACAATACCAATACAAACTAGATGATTCTAGCTCATTAGGGACTAAAATACATGATTTTAATTATTGGTGCCATATAGCCCGGCTGGGAAATGTTTTTCCATGACAACCATTCAGAAATCTGGTTCCTAAAGTTGACCTGAAAACGACCTAGGATGTTCGTAAGGATCATGTGTGGGGAGGGGGGAAGTGGAGGTATGCTGTGATTTAAAACATAAACGAGAGGGTATTCATAACTTGGTTATGTTATCTATTTACTGTATTTATAGTGAACGCCAAATAAATTAACCAAAAATAATCATGTATAATTGTTTAAAAATATAAAGATCTAAACTTTTTCATGTTTTGATCAGTCTTGATTAATCGGTGTAAATATTTTAGCAATGTTTAATTAGGACATTTAGTAAACGGAATCTAACCCTCCTCCCTTAACAAGCATGGAAGCTTTGTCGAGGCTGAGTTTAAATATTTTTAAAAATATAGACATAATAGAATAACTATTTGTTTTAAATTTTATTTTAAAAGCTGTCGTTGCATTAAATTTCATCACATGTGAGCGAGAAATGCATTCCAAACAGTTACTCATAGGCTGTGCGTAGTGGTGGCTCGCTCGCTTTGTATTTGCAACGAGAGGAAACATCACCGTCCAAAGCTAGACATGTCCAGGCAGACTTTTAATACTTAATATTTGTGTCTATTTAAAGCTTGTTAGGCTAGGCCTCTATCATATAAGTTAATCACTTGTGAATAAAAAATTGTGCAAATTTGTCACAAGCCCGCTTGTGTTCTTTTGTCAAGCGAGTGTGTGCAAGTCCCAGAACTGCGTTAGCTAGATCTAAGCATGCCAACTTAAGTTTATGCAGGCCGTCCTTTTCTAGTATGATTATTTAGAATTTATTGGCCAAGTCCTTCTGAATCTAAATCCTAATAATCTGTTATATAAAAAGTATTTCAAAAATTAACTCTTTAAGACCGTAACGACGCTTCCAGCGGCCGGCCTGCCATACCGTAACGACGATCACAGCGTTCGATAAAATTTTCTCTATTTGTTTTCGGAATCCAAGTTTTTAATCGTAAATCCTAGGTCATGATAACGCTAGAGCGGCCATTTTTTGTTGTATTTACTTCTTGTAGTTTTCTCGTTGGGTTGATTTTTTATTTTTAACACTGCGGAATGCCGTTCAGCTGTCGCGTCTATACGTTTACATCGACGCTTTATGGAATTAACCAAAATTAAAGTATTTATACTAATACTAAACCGATTTGTGTAGCAGACATGCCTACAGTCCCGCCGAAATCTGAACCGTCCCGCTTTTTTACCTAAAAAAGTAATTTGTTCCGTCATTCCGAAATCGACTCAGTTGGTTCCGATTTTTTTGAAAAAAAAATTAATAAAGAAAGGTAATCAAGTAAAATTTTTTAAATGTCATGAAAAAAGCGATTATCTCCCTTTGGCACACGTTTCTGTTTACTTACAATATTTACCAGTATTATCTAATACTAGATCTAGTTAGTAGTATATATAATAAATCTAGAATCGTAACTAGATCTACTAGTACATACTGAAATAGTGAATACTGATCTATCTTGTAAGTTTAACTTAACCAGTAACTACTATTATGAAGAACTTAGTAAGAAGTAACAAGGAGTTTTACTAGGTAGATCAAGGGTCTTTGCTCGTAACTTATATTATATATTACATATGATGAAGCCTTCAGCATTTGTTATTCATATAGCCTAGAACATAGTAAGACATAAATATTCAAATCAATAATGTTATGTCAAAGCTATGATTTTTATTCGGGGGGGGGGGGGGGGGGGGTTACTGGTTAATTTATTTTTTTAAATGTAAGCTGACATTAAGCAGTATTTAAATGTATCCTAGAGACTAGTTATATAGGACTAGAAGCCTACTAATGTCATTAGAGTAATTTTTAATTAATTATTTTTATTTTTGACTTAGTAAAGTAGTGTCTGCGCGTATGTTCCTCTTTTTGGCTTCAAATTCCTCTTTTTAGGCATAACTGTTCCTGCTTTTGGCTGACAGGGGTAGGCATGTCTGGTGTAGAAAAATGGATGTACTTTCGTTTTCTATGAATAAGAGTAAGAACTCATGAAAAGTAATTCTTAAGATTAATTTTCCCGACAGAAGCGTAATTTTCGCACGAATAAATCAACTCTTTTGTTTTTCTTCTTTAAAACTAAGTAATTATCTTTCTTCAACAAATAAATAATTCCTTAAAATTTATAAGGACGCTATGTTGTTGTTAGCAACCAGAGACGCTTTCAAGTTAGTGAGAAAATGTTTTGCTTTTGGAACACTATCAGTAGCTCATTAGAAGGATGATTAACCTCACCCTCACTTACCACACACACGTATACACCCCATGAAAGCAGCCGACCATTACGACCATGTAAAAATCAAGCAGAACTTATTACCTCACCTTAATTTCACATAGTTTAAAACTTATTACCTCACCTTAATTTCACATAGTTTAAAAACTAAATTATCTGCCCCTAATAGATGTTACTGATTTGACCCGACTCTAAGATTGTAAACTGCACACCAGACTGGTGGTGGTAGCGATATGGCCTGTTGAGCATGCCTAGGGGGAGAGGGGGTCAGCAAGCTTACTTGGTGGTATCCTGCATGGTCCCTCTATAAAGAGAACTACATATATAGATGATATGGGGCCAGATTTAAAGTAATTTTGGTTTTTAAAAAATTACTGTTCCATTGCATATTGTTTATCTGTAGACACTGCCTATGAACCCTAAGCCGTTCCTGAATGGACTGACAGGAAAACCAGTTATGGTTAAGCTAAAATGGGGTATGGAGTACAAAGGATACCTTGTGTCTGTGGATGGCTACATGAATCTACAGGTAAGCTTGGTTGTTTAGTTTGATGTAATTGGAACAAATTTATGTCCTAGAAAAATTTTTCTTTTTTCTCTGTGGAGAGGATTTCATCATAATATGAGTTATTTACAGCTTTTATGCATTTTTCTTAAACCAGGAAAATATGGTTGTGTCTTAATAACTGAAATACATTTTACTTACATTTTTAGTTGGCCAACACTGAAGAATACATTGACAGTCAACTAGCTGGCAATCTGGGTGAAGTGCTCATAAGGTATTTTGCCTATGTTCAACTTGTTTAGTGTCTCCATGTTTTTTGTATAAATTGGCAGATTGTGAGCTTATTTTCATTTCAACATTTACATCAGCATTTTCTTAGTTAAATTTACACATCTGATAAATAATTTTTGAATTAAGATGTTAAAGTTATGTTATGATTGCCTACCTAGGTATACTTGAACCACACATGTGCAGAACTAGCCTCTAAAACATCCTTAAGCCAAATACAATAAAAAAATGTAAATGACTGTAAAAAAACTTATTACATTTTTTAAATCCATTAACTAAAAACACTCTTGCTTTTGTGTATTATAGTACACTTTTTAATTAACTCATTTGCAACTAAAGCCTATTTCCAAAAACAATTCACAGGCCCTAATTAAAGGGGACAACCCCCAATAAAAAAACTGTTTAATTATTTAAAAAGTCACAGAGTATACTTACTAAATCAAGAAATATATTAGCTCAAAGTCCAAAGAAAAAGTATAATCTGATATTTTTCTACCATTATTAATGGTGCAACAATGTGGTCAGTCCTCCACTGAGTTCCTCAGTATTTTTAACGTTTTAGAAATTACAATTCTACTAATACTACTATAGATTCTAATTGCTATACGCTAATAGCTACAATATCTAACAATATAGAATTTGTTTTGCTATCTGATTTTTGAAACAACTTTAAAAGGCCTGTTGCTAAATCATCAGTTGGTGCAAAACAAAATTGATCCATAACTGGACAATAATAAAAATTGATAGAAACTTCTGGGGTTTTTGGGGGGGGGGGGGGACGACACGACAACTCCCACATATTCTTGTACTATATTTGGAAAGCGTTGAAGCTTTATTGTTTGATAATAATACAAAAGAAACACGATAGGATAAAACACATGGTGGTCACAGCATGTCGCATTAGTAGCAGTTAAGTCAATAATTATGTCAATAACTACAATAATCAACCACAATTTTGTGATAGTACAAATTTTAAAATAGCATTATAAGGATAAAGTCTGGTTAGTAGGTAGTAAGTGTATTATATACCCATTCACCTTTAATAATATCCATGACATGAGTTAGTTACCCATTGGAGTTGGGTGAACTCAGGATTGTCATAGTACCCTTTTTTCTGTTAGCTTCTAATGTAATTTTAAACATCTTTTTATAGATGCAACAATGTTCTGTACATCCGAGGAGTTGAGGAGGAAGATGAGGAAGGAGAGACCAGGGACTAACTTGTGCCCAAGATCTGTAGAATGAGTAGGGCTACCAACTCAGCCATCATCATTGTCTTGTTTCATTGTTTCATGTTACTTTAATTGATGAGAACCATGATGTATTATTATTCCTGATGTTTATGAGATATCTATTATGTACAACCTGACACTATACCATGATGATTCATATGTTTAAATTACAAGTTTGTGGTTTTATCTGTTAAATATTTAAAAGTTAAATGTTTGTAGTTAGATTTTTATAGTCTAGTAAAACTTCATGTTCATTAATTTTTTTAAAGTCATGTGTAGCACTGACTTCACTGTATAATAATTGTTGTCATTTTTCTTCATTTCTCTACATATTTCATCCCATCAATTCATGCAATCTACAACCTGACTATAATAGAATCATGTACTGCAGCTCATTGTTGTAATATCATCCTCAGTGTTTGATGTATAATGTTTTATGTTGTACAACTTGACTTTTAATATTTTTTAACATAAAAACATGTGAATGACATCATTTTATTTAGTTAGCTTCAAGCTTGAAATTAAACTATTTGGTCAAATGCTTTAATAATACCCTTGCTGATCAACCTAATTTTTAAAAAATAACTTACAATTTACAGACAAAAAACTGAGATTACTGAAATTTTTAGTTGTGACACAAATTGTGCTAAAAATCGAAGATTTTTTTTTTAAATTGTGTATTTTTAACAATTATGTTATTTGATGTTGTTTTTAGTGTTAGATTTTGTGTAACCATGATGAAGTTCTAGAACCATCCTGAAGCTCTCAAAAAGTTAATTCTCCTGAAACATTTTTTACACTACTTTATACCACTCACTCACCAGAGTGTCAGTAATTCAAAATTGAACAAAACTAAGCATTACCATCATTCCATTTTTTACTGTTTGCATTTTGGCATCTAAATAAAGTTCATTTGAAATTCGTTTGTATTTTTGTTTTATTTTAGTCAGTTGCTGAATAGACAGTAATACTGTTTTCATTTTGTCTTTTATATAAAATACCAATGACTAACACTATTACAATTGGTTCCTGACTGATTGAAAGTAGATCTAGTAAAGATGGGCACAAAAGTGACTTTTCAGCTTAAGCTAAGATCTGTTAAAAAGATAATGAAACTTTCCTAAAGTTATCTAGATCTACCTTTGATGCAAATCTTAGAAACCATGCAGTTGGCGCATTGGGAGAATAACTTACTGTTAACCCTCTTCGCAATTTTGTAATTGGAAGCAATGATGACGGTTGTGTTAAAACAACGCTATTAAAATAGGCTTGCATATCCTATCGCTACGGCACGACACATTCAAAAGTACTTCATAGTTAATAGTAATAATAGTTCTGATATAAATATAGCTTTAATATATTGATTAAATTTGTAGCACCACATCCTAATGTTAGGATACGACTTATTACTTGAGCTTGCGAATCGGCCAACCTAAACTTGATTATTTGATTTTACTTCCTCTTGTCTGTACCTTAAGTTCATGATTAAAGTTTGATAGAAGCTAACTATTAATTTTTTTAAAAGTGTATGGTAAAACAATAGCTATTTAATATGCAGAGTTACAGTTGACATTCCAAACCATGAGAAAAAAAAAACCCACAGAACATCCTCCACTGTAAGACGTCAACAGCAGATGGTCATCTCCACTGGACCTGCTCGCTGATTGCTCTCTCAGACGGACATCACGTGACCTTTGACATACGCCGCTGACCGCACCAGATACGTGTGATTTCTCCCGGGAGTAACCCACAGCCTTGAGAATGGATAGTCCACCGGACAACGGGCTACATTTATTTTGACAGGGGCACTGCAGTACAATGGAGTCTGGGTGGCGGGGGTGGGGTGGTGGTCAAAGATGGCTCTTGTTGCGTCAAGGATGATTTGTTTGTACCCCGCCCATTGGGCAGTATTTCTCTCTTTATTTTTTTTTTTTTGCATGATGTGCAAGTATAATAGCAGCGACAGATTTGTAAACATTAGGGGGAGGGGGGAAAGGGCGGCTGCTCGTATGAATGCAAACATATCAGGGCCATCATTATAGAGTGGGCAGATGGCGATATGTTCCGCGCGGTTCCCAGAAAAATGCTGCAACGGAAAACTGCAGAAAGAAAAAAGCGCAAATACAAACTAACTTTTATACTATTACATTTAATCTGTTTTATTATGCTGCTATGTACATATGGTCATTCTTTGATAATTTTTGTATATATTCGATTAGAAAAAAGAAATTCCCATGCGCAGATTTTTGTGCGCAGTTTTCCGTTGCACATTTTACCGTTAACCTTTCAGTACTATTTAAAATATTTGGGTGGATCACAAATTTAGCCGTAGATTGAAAACTCGAACTTACCATTACGTAAATTTGTATGAGGTTTTATGTAGTAGCGCCCTAGAATGGCAGATTTGGAGTAAAGTGGTGGTACGAATTTACGTAATAAAAAAAAAATCTTAAAATTAAATTTAAGTTTGTAGGATATCGTGACTTAAATCATAACATGACCAGTAAAATACAGTGTCGGTTTTTTTTTAAATTTAAACTTTCCATTTAGATTTGTGTGTGAGAAAAATAGTTTGAAGAGTGAAATTTGAGAAAGAATATTCATCGAATAGATCTTGGTGACGTCCCGTCTTTTTTTATCCCTTCATAAATTTTGGATTAGAAGTTGGAAACAGGGGGGTGTTAGTGTTAGGGGGATTGTATATATATATATATATATATATATATATAGGATTGTATACATATGGAAAAATGTTTGTACCCCTCCTATGACCAATTCCTGGCTACGCCACTGGTTGGAAATGACCGGCATATTGCTCGACCACTAGACCAGTCCTCCACTAGACCAGTCCTGGTCTAATTAGCAAGGGTAACGTGGTTTAACCACCAAACGGAACTTGCAATTTTTAAAAATTAGTTGGACAATCGGATTGGCTGGCCTGTAATTTGTAATGAAATGGTATGAGCAGCCCACAACGGCATGCCAATGATATCATAATACGATTTGTCTTGGCGCGTCAATAACAACCACAATCATGCTCTGTATTATCTTCCGCCAGACCACGTGATCCAACGTCCGATCACACGGCGGCAAACGACGTCTGCGTACACATTTTGACCGGCGTTATTGACGAGACACGTGTTCCTGATTTGTAACGGCACACGACAAGCCCGCGCTTCCGGTGGCGGTGATAATCGGGTCAACACCACCTATCCATCTTTTGATTGGCCCATTGTTCCCGTCACGATTTTGATTTGTCACGTGACATCATTTCCTCCAATCAACGTGATGGATGTTCGTCATCTCCGTGGTCCTTTGTGGACCGGTTTATTATCCGTGATGTTTCAATCCGGCCCTCCACGCATTGACCACCGAACGACCAGCCGGCTCATACTTCAAGTTAATGGATTTTAATCTTGTTATCTTGGTCTTAATATGGATGGGCTCTTGTGGCCAATGAAGCACGAAAGACAGTCAAAACAGTAAATTATTTGCTCCTTGTGCGTTTGATTTCTCGTGCTATGTAACGAGCAGTAAATAACTTTACTACCATTCAAAGTTCGACAACTCAATGCTTATTATGGGCCAATATCAAATCCAATGGTGAAATAATTAGAAATAAAGTAATATTAACCAAATCAATATTGGTGATACTATTAAAATATCACACAAAAAGAAAACTATTAAAAAAAAAACACCATACATATTTTTAAAAGTATAGCTATTTATATTTACAATTATTTCATTTTTAAAAAGACTTAAATTCTTAAATAAAACCTCCTATTAGATAATTAATTTCCCCATGTTAACAATCGTTTATTCTTCTGTACAAATTTAATAAACCACTGGTTTCATAGGTATGCGTGTAATGATATAATTTAATTAGTATTATTTAATTTTAAATTAAAACACTCCATCCCCAGCTTTCTTTCAGAATTTTTTCGGGGGGGGGGGGGGGGGGGGGGGGGGCTGGACACTTGATATTTACGGGGGAGGGGGACGGACTAAATTTTCCAGGGGGGGGGGGGGGCGTACACTGGTAAAAATAAATATTCTCTATATAAATTCCATTTCGTTGGGGGGGGGGGGGATAAGATGCCCAACCCCTTTTAACATAGCTCATCAGTCTTGAAGCCCATCCCTGTCTGTTCACTAGCGAATCCACCATTTTTCTAATTCACATGCCTTGAAATGAACACGCTCTAATTAATGAAAACAAACTCATCTACCACATTAATGATGACGACACACGTTCAGCTGTTTGAGCTCAATCCGACAGGGTCAAACGGTCCCCTATGTCCTGTAATGGTCACTTAAGTCCGTCCTATGCTTTATGGTGCCGTCTGAAGGTTGAGCTCCTGCCGTCTTTGAATGATTGCTTCACATTTGGTAATGACGTCAAGGGGCGAACCGGAAACAGGTTAAGCCAGAAAATCTGAGCGCGGACGTACAGGAAATATCCACATTCGTTCTCTCACTCGTAATGTCAGGGCTCCACGTTTTCCAATAGACTCTGGTCACGTGATGACCTCTTAATTTATTCACACGTTCTATATAGCTTTCCAGACCATACAGTAGAACATTGGGCAGCTCACATGACTCGAAGTTTTATCAGTGCTAGAAGGATATGACGATGGAGATGCAAATACCAATGAGTTAAGCGAAATATTTTTGTTATATTTTTAGGTAACTATAAAAAATGTTTTGACATACTTCCTTTAGTTGCAGAAAACCCAGTGAAAAAAAAAATCCTCGATCTACTTTAGGCTTTATAAGGGGTCATGCATAAATGACGTCACTCTTTTTTGGACGATTTTTACCTCCCCCCTCCCCTCCGTCGCACGTTGTCACAAAAAGCAAGACCCCCCCCCCCTAAAATGACGTCACACCCAGGGGGCGTAGCGACCCTTCCCGGCGCCTTTCCGGGGACAAACTTTTCGATTTGCACCTCCCCCTCAAACTTTCGATTTGCACCCCCCTCAACCTTTCAATTTATTTTTCCAACCCATTTTGGCGCCCCCTAAGGTCGGCGCCCGGGGACATATGTCCCCCCCCCCCCGCCCCCCCTCGCTACGCTACTGGTCACACCTCAACCATCAAACCCCCCCCCCCCCCTCAAAATTGCAGTTGAATTTTTTTTTAAACATCGATATTTTTCTAAAATCTTGTCTGAACTCTGTCAAAATAGAGTATTTTAATAAGTTCCTATTACAATTTATTAAAACAGTTTTCTAAAACGCGAAATAACGTCTAAAATTCGTTTTCTAACATTGCTTTTTTTATAATGCAAAAGTGTGACGTCGCACCATCTGAACCCCCCCCACCCCCTCCCCCTCATCACACACCGTCACAAAATTACGGACCCCCCCTCCCCCCTACGAGTGTGACGTCATTTATGGACGACCTCTAAACTGTAGTGAAACTAAAGCTTAATTAATTCTTCTCCACCTTTATTTTAAAAAAAACTACGCTTATTACGAATAAGGGGATTTATAGTTTGACCAGTTGTTGCTCACTATGTATTTGAATTTAAAAAGACTTGTACAGTAGCCAGTAGCCTATATATGTACACATTTCATCAAACGCAGTTTATGTGTTTACTTATTTAGCTTTTAAGGTACTCTACAATAAATAATTATAAAAAAAATTGGTCAAATAGCCCTCAGTTCTGAGGGGTCCAAAATTTTAATTTATGCTAATAGAAAGTACAAATAATATATGTATAATGATCTTTAATTTTAAAGTAAGCTTGCAATAAAGCCAAAGCTTTTCATTTAAAATTACAATTTAATTTAAATTTGTGCACACACATAATAATCAATTTAAACACATTTTCATAATTTACTAAATTTAAAAATTTATTGCAACAAATAACTATTTCCACAATTTGTAACTAAAGGTTCATTATGTTTTTGTACATA